ATCTTTGCAAACATCTGCGGTAAAAGTAAGATGAATAAAAGGAACATTTCTAGAGAATATTAGAATCATTCATTCAACGTATTTAATTAAGTGCCAGCCACTATTATGTGCCAGACATTGTGCAAAAACTATACATTACGAATAAATAGACATGAGAAAGATTAAAAGGAAAAAAAAACTAACATTAACTTAGTGACTTCTATGTCCCAATAATTGTGCAAGAGATGTTTATGGATATTAACTGATTCCATACATACTGTTTGGTACATAGTAGGTGGTCAATAAATATTTAATTCTCACAAACAGTAAAGTATAAATTCTTATCTCCACCTTTACCAATGCAGATATGGAACCTTAGAGACATTAAGATGACTTTCCTAAGTCATGGTGAGCAAATAAAGTAACCAGAATTTAATACCTGGTATCCTGAGCATTTCTGTAGATAAAGAAATGATCCACGGAAAAGGGATAACCTGAAACTACAAGAAAGAAATGCAATAGCTATTGAATTAAAGACTTGGAGGAAATTGAATGGGATGGGATTAAAAGAACAAGTTAAGGAATTTGCCTTAGAATGTTGACCTTGTCAATACAGTTTTATGACTTTCTCCAGTTTTGTGACATGAAAAAAGATTAGAAGAGAGATTTGAATAGAGGTTTGATCTAACTGGAAGAAAAGAGGATACAGATCTGTAAAAGCTAAATTCTGGAATGTGTATGTGGAAAGCAAATATATAAACTAGATAGATCAAGAATAGGAATTAATGGAGGCTGTTAGACTAGAGGGGAAAATATTAAAGGTGAAATAAAATGTATAACTCAAAGAAAGTACACCATTCATATAAATGCATAGTTTGACCAAACAGGTAGGAATAAAAATACAAATAAATATTTGTTGGGTGGCTACTGTGTACAAGATCATGTTAGACCATATGGGAAAATCAACAAATTATTAGGATACATAAAGGACTGTCCTAATAGAGAGCACATTAGTAGTTGAGTAAATAATTTAAATATGTAAAGTTTAAAATGAGCAACATAAAAATTAAAACAATAGCTCTTTAAACCTGAAAGCGAATGAATTTTCTCCCAGATTAAATGAATAACAAAAAGTCATTCACACCTAATGTATAAATGTATTATATTCCATTAAGACTATATCAAGCCAGAGTAAATAAGATTTAGGTTGTCCTATTTACTTTAAAGCTGTAATAATTGTTTGCCATAAGTTAATTTACAAGTGAATGTAATGTGTTTTTCACAGGACAAAAATGGCTTCAATTTTATTTTAACTGATTGTATGGTAGTTTGTATATTTATTTGAAAACTTTCACAGATGGTTTCTTTGGATTTCAGTGAATGGAAAAGGATAAAGATAATTTCCTCATATTAAAGGAATATGCACATTCGATAATCCAACCAAACCATCACAATTCATACTATTAAACCAAAATAATCACACCAGACCTACCAGTACAACTCTGTAAAACATTCAGAAGATATGAACAAGATTTTCTACACAATTTTACATTGATTACCATAGTTCACAAGCACAGGACAGCACTTTGTAATGAATCTTTGACACACACTAGAAGAAAACAGTCTATCATCTTAGCATTTTATTCTAGCAATAAACAAATAGATCAATAGAAGGAAAAATCAATTTTGTAAACATTCAGCTTCACACTCGGGCATTTAAACATCTCAGACAAGAGAACTGTCCTGGTACTGACTGGCAATATTCTATATGATATCTTTAGAGAAAGTTTCCTCTGAGTGGCAGATAATGAATTATTAGATTATCACACTACAATGGACAGGCCATCTCTTCCAAAATTGGTATCAGGAGCTTACTGAACACCAACAGGTAACAGATGGAGGGCTAAGTGTTTTGTATGGATTAGAACAATATGGGCTGACAGGTATCGAGCATTTTGTTTTCTGTTCTAGGCACTATAATAAATAGTTCACTTAATGTTTTATTTATCCTTTATAAAGTCAGTTTAATTATTAGTATAACTAATCCATTGATAGGAAAACTGTTGTCCAGAAATGTTAAATAATTTGCCCATCCTCATGCAATTAGTCATAGTAGAGTCAGGATTCAGTTCCACATAGCTTGATTCCCAAGGCTCTGCTCTTAACAGTAAGCTGAAGACTTTGGACTGAATTTTAGACAATGAATTTCATTATTTCTATGCTTTGATGTAGGGGAGGTAAAGAAGGGGATATTTACTGGCCTTTTGGGGATCATATCTAAGAAGAAATTCAGTTGTACCTGACTCTCTCCAGGTGGTACTTCAGCACAATGATCCAAACAGGTCCCAGCCCTCTGAAACAAGTTTGTATGTTGCTTTCCCTCCATTTATAATGCATGTAAGGGTCCATTCTGTCTGGGAATTCCTCCTAAATTACTGGCCAGAACTTCTAAGCTGCCTTGGTGACTTTTTCTTCTCTATCTGCCTTTTAATATTGGAAAATTCCCAGAAAGCAGTCCCGGCCTCTTTCTCTTGCTACACTCACTCCTTACGTGTTCTGATTCAGTCCCTTGGTTTTAAATGTCCTCTAAACATTGATGACTACTAAATCTGTATAGCTAGCCCTGATCCCAACCCTAATGTTCAACTTATCATATCTCCAACTTCCTAGCTGATATCTCTACATGAATGACTAGTAGTCACCTCAAAGTGTATTCAAATAAAAAATCCTGATTTCTCCCAACACTATTTCTTCTATAACTCTACCCACTTCAGGAAGTTTGCCCAGATGTGCAAGCCAAAAACTTGGTAGATGATTCGAATTTCTCTTTCATTTAATTCTCCTTCCAACTCAAATACTCATACATGCTCCAAATCTATGCACTTAATTGTTATTTATCCACCTTAGTACAAGGCTACTCTATCTCTTGTATGTATAACTGTATTCATTAGTGCCTACATGGTCTCACTAGTTTGTCTCTGTAAAGCTTCTCTTTATAGCCCTGTCTCCTCCAGTCCAATCCAAGTATAAATCAGTTTATGTTGCTCCTTTGTTTAAAACTCTCCAATAGTTTCCTGCCTAAAAATAAATTTAAAAATCCTTATTTCTTGCTATGACTTGGAAGCTCTTTTATGGCCTACATGATCTGGCCCCTGCTTAGCTCTCTGATCCCCTAATCACTCTGGCCCGGATACAATGACCTTCTTAGATAAAAATAAGCTTACTTTTATCCCACTGCCCTGCACTTCCATCTGCTATGGTTTGAATGTGTCCCCCAAAATCACGTGTTAAAAGTTAATGGCCAATGTGAAAGTATTAAGAGGTAAAGTCTTGAGAAGGAGATTAAGTCATGAAGGCAAAACCCTCAGGGATGGGATTAGGCCCTTACAAAGGGGCTTGTGAATGTGCTTTTCCCTCTCTTCTGCTCTCTGCCATGTAGGAACGCAGTGTTCATACTCTCTGAAGGATGAAGCAACAACGCACCGTCTTGGAAGCAGAGAGTAGCCTTCACCAGACACAGAACCTGGTGTTACCTTGATCTTGAACTTCCCAGATGCCATAAATGTCAGCAAAAAATGTATGCTGTTTATAAATTACCTAGTCTTAGGTATTTTGTTATACTAGCACGAACAGGCTAAGACACCATATACAAAAATCAAACCTAAAATCTTTCCTGATTACTCTTACTGTATTATCTTATTTTATTTTCAAGACTTTCATCACTATATGAAATAATCTTATTTATTTATGTTAATTGTCACCTCAAAAAGAATGCACGTTCAAAGAGCGCAGATATCTAGTCTTGTTTGCCACTGATATTCACATCAGCAACTCAAGTGTTTATTAAAGGAAAAATGCATCTGAGGCCTACCCTCACTCAATCATCTCTGCCAAGAGGAAGAGACTAATTAAAGCCAGTTCCCAAGATAATTTTCTTAAAAGGAAATTAGTAACAGACAAGAAAATAAATTATTAATCAAATCATCACTGTATCAGTACATATGCTACCCTTGAATGATGATTCCTCTGAACTCTTTAAATTCTATCATCTGATCCATTACTTTCATAGACATCTACCCCACTCCAATTTACCTAACACCATTCTACAGAAGGTGGGGGAGGTGTGCAAAAATACTTATGTCTTTGTGGTTTTCTCTAGAAAATTTGGAAATTTTCATTTCTTATAGTTTAGAATGGACATGGAGGAAGGGGACAAACTAGATAACCCAATTTTACAGCTCAATTGTTTTTCATGTCCTCTCTGAACAAGCGACCATATTGCTGTTTGCCACTTTAAGCGGATTTAAGTAGAGTAAAATAAATTTTTAAACTAAGAAAACGCAAATATTTTAATTGAGAGAAGTATTAGCTTACAAATGGTCAAAATTCTTTGACATCCCTGCCATCAAGAAGTGGTGTGTATTTCTTCTCCCTTTGAATCTGGGCTGGTCATGGCTGCTTTGACCAATGGAATATTGTGGAAGAAATCCTATGCCGCTTCCAGGCCTGACCTTTAAGAGCACAGGCACCTCTCACCTGAGGCCTTTGGAGCCCATAATCACTAAGTAAAAAGTCCAACTATTCTGCTAAAGAAGCACAGAGAGAAGTCCTGAGACTACACGAGGGGAGAGGGGACCTAGTTGAGCTTAACCTCCCAACCATCCCCGCCAAGGCACCATGCATGTGAAGCTATCTTGGAACCTCCAGACCACTTAGTCACCAGGCAAATACCACTAAGTCACACCAGTCAGCCACATGAACTTGACTGGTACCAGGACCCATTGTAGTCCTGAGTTACAAAATAACAAGATATGATAAAAACATAAATAAAATTGACAGACAAAATGGAATTTTAGATTAAGTAAAATTGTTGCTTTAAACCTAATTTTAGGGATTGTTGGATATTCAGTAAAATTTTTAGTAAAAAATTTTCAGTAAAATTAAACATGATACTAATTTAGTCCAAAGACTAATGTTTAATGAGAAAATAATCAAATTTTACAAAAGGCAAATGTACTGACCTTATAACTGCATTTGTTGAAGCATCAGCATCTGAAGCATTTACCAATAAAACATCTGTACCAGTTGGTGCGTCTTCAGGAATTGTTGTGAAATACATTTTACTGGCAAAAGTGGGGACATTGTCATTGACATCATCTACTATGACATTGATTGTTCCAGTTCCAGTCAATGCAGGGTATCCTAGAAAGATATGAAAATCAATTCTTAGTGCTTATAAGTGACAAGAACAATAACAAACTGAACAATAATTAACTGTAGACAAAATCACTGAAGAGAATTTTGTAAATGTCTTACCAAAGTAAAAATTCTGAACACATAAGACAAGTGATTGGGTGAGTTTTAATTTTGTTACAAGAAAAATATTTTCATTTCTGAACTAGAATTTGAAATCTCCCCTAATGACTCTGCACAAAGGGCATATGTCATGCTCTTATCCTGTTTTAAAGGTGCTGATTCAACAACATCATTTAATTGCCACAAAAGAAGCACTGCTGGTAATTTCTCTGGAATCACATTAAAATAGCACAAATCAGATTTGGAGCATACCCACAGGCATGAAATAGCTGGCCAACTAACAAGGCACTGTTAAAAACTATATTCCTAGCTATGACTATCATTATTATAAAATTCCAACTGAGTCTCCAGGGTATTTAAAACCCTTTTTCCATACTAACGAATGCTTGTTTGAGGGGGAAAAAAAGAAGTTCACATCGTATCTCAAAGCTATAATCTTCCACTTGCTGCAAATAACTTTATGTTGATAAGCTGACAAAGAATAATTTTTGTTGTATCTATTTAATATAAATGTGAAATAATTTATTTTTATTTCCTGTTCAAACTCTATTATCAAACTATAAAAAATCCAACATTTGACAGAAACTTGGAGTACATCATCTGTAAGACACAAAGTAAGCAGACTCATTTTGTGATGAAGGTCAGATGTCATATTTAGTTACAATTCTGTGGAATGTCCCCATAACTAAAATGCAAAAATCATCTGCCTTTGGTTGTGTTTCAAAACCATGTTTTCAAACGTTAACTTTTCTAAACAGAAACAATGAAGATTCTTTTAACTGCATTTATCTAAAATAAAGCCCTCAGATACTGTCAGATAATAAGAAAGACCACGTTACTTTTGCTCCCATAAACTTATTTCCCTTTGTCTGATGTTTAAGTCCTACTTATTTTTGCCATTCAGTATTCTGTAAATAAAGCCATTCATTCATTCATTCATCTACCCATAAAATTTTTATGAAATACCCTTCTTATCAGAGAATGGTGTTGAGATTCACAACCTTCCAATATTATTTGATTCACCACCTTCCAATATTATTTTTTCTAATAATTTTATGATTTGCTGATATTTCCTCTACTAGTCTTCAAACTTTTTTCTAAGTTATTTGATTGTAATTACTGATGGCATAGTACCAATCAGCTTTTATGCTCAGATGTGTAAGGCCCAAAATTAACAGACTAGAAAACGATTATGGGATGTAATGGTTTTGGTCATCTGTTATTTTTATGCTGTACACAGGAAGCTCAAATTCTATTGTAGATGAAAGAATGTGTGTGACCAGTTGAGCCAGGCACTGTAAGGAAGCATGTTACCTTCCAGAAACCTACACAATTAAATTTAAGCTGCATGCCAACAATTGTTGCCATATATATCTTTCTTAGTAAGATACTTTATATTAAGCATTTCATTTACATTAACATATTGTAAAATTCATGACTGCAGAAATTTTACCTATTATTGTTTGATTTTACATTAAAGGAAAGAAAAGTAACTCTCACTCTATTGGTTATATGTATATGAACTACAAACTTTTAAAAAATAGCATAATTGCCTTTTCACTAGTTGCTTAGTATAAACGATGGTAAGATTGTGCTACAAATATTTCACACACACTCCAAAATAGGTATGGAAGTATTATAAACATGTTTAGAATACTAAAGCACATCAAAATAAGACTTCAAAATATCATGCAGCATATTAATGTCAATAATAGCAAACAGTCATTGAGTCCTTAGGTATGCATTCATGGGAAGGAGAGGGTGTATATGATAAATTAAGAGAGGAGATAAATCATGGTCCCAGAGTCAAAGGATGGAAGGAGATGCAGGGGTCTTTAATCTCTTTTACTGATTTCTTATTCTGCTCACTAAATCTCAGACTGCATCAGTAAAATGGAAATAATAAAAAGAATGGAATCTACCCAAGGAGGTACTGAGGGCAATGTAATATGCTTAGGATAACACCTAGAAGAAAGTTAGAATGTATTTGAACTTGTATTTTATACTTGTTTAAAAAAATAGAAAATTGACATATAAAAGGTCTAAGTAAATTTTATAGATTTCTGTGTTACAGTTCTCAGGATTTTTCCCCCACAAATCTTTCAGCTGAACCCTATGATAGTGTTATTCTGGCAAACATTTTGAATCACAATCCATCTTAATGATTTCTCTGTAGTATAAATATATGAGATACTTAGCTCTCAAAAAAGTCATAGCTTTATGGAAGACACATTGAAATAAATTTTAAAGTGCAAATTTTAAAATTTATGGTGAGATTTTAAGGAAGACCTGAATGTTTGTGATATGCACATTGCTTTCTAATCCACAATGCTTAAACTTGTTAAAAATGACCCAGGGCTGCCTAGTTAGCTCAGTTGGTTAGAATGTGGTGTTATAACACCAAAGTGAAGAGTTCGGATCCCGGATCCCAGGTCCCCGTCCCAGCCAGCCACAAAAAGTAAACAACAACAAAAAAGCCCAGTAACTACCAAGCAAATCTTTCATCTTTGGTATTCTAAAGCGTCTGGTGACACACATATGGAAAACCACATGAAATGATGACTAACTCCTTTGGTCAAGAACATCTGATTTCTTTCCTTGTATATAAACTACATATTGTTGCTGATACATTTTCTGAGTTAGTAAGCAAACAGAAAAAAAAAGTATACCCAGAAAAATGTTCAGCAAATTCAAACTCACTATGTTCGTACCAGAGAATATCTTATTTTTCCAGATGATTTTCGAAGCACACCAGTGACAACACACAATCCTGGCTTGAGCAGTGGCCCCTCAGGTGATGCTACATTCCTAAAGGACATCTTCTCAAGCCAAAAACCTTCCCTACAATCTCCTTTTCTCTCCTTGTTATCTGCTACGACCCTCTTTATAGGGGCTTGGAGTTCTCTTCTTATTTTCTCCCACTTCAAGACTAGAGAATGTGGTAGAATCTCTACAACTGTCTTGGCTTTCTTGTTTCCCCAGTAGATGTGCATACAGGTCTTATTATGATTCTTTTATTATTATTTTTTTCAAGGAAAACCTTACAGACACTATGCTCTAAATTTCTAAGTCTTCTACTGAGATTTAACTAAACCCAAATTTGAATTGTGCCTCCATTATTTTTGACTTTTACTCTTGGGAATGGAGCTTACTAACCCTCCACCCCACTCCAACTTCTTACATGCCCACTGGATAGCATGAGCTCCAGAAATCACTACCTCTCACCTTTAGGCAGAAAATGAAATCAAGGGAAAAAAAATGAGAATGTCCTCTAATTTCACTTGAGTAAATCTCGTTTCTAAAACATTCTTGTCAGAGGAGTGACACAAGTTCCCCAGTTCTTGGCCACCACAGATCTCAGAACTTCCTCTTGTGTGCTAACTGAATTGTGAAGCTATGGTTTTGCTCTTGCTTTTCTGTGCATATTTGTTTGCTTGTTCCTTAACCCTTCCTTTTAACTGCGGGAAGAAGTTGTCCAGGGTGCTTATGTTTCTGTCTCCCAACTTTTTTATGGGTATATCCCATGGGAAGTGTTGCACAATATTTACTATTATTTTATCTTCAGTCCAGAGCTTTCTGCTGACTCCAGGCTGATACACCCAATTGCTTATTTGTTGTCTCCTCTTGCAAGTTACCACAGAACCTCAACATTAGTATGTCAAAAAATGAAATCATAATTATGGTCAGTACTTCTAGCCCATGTATTTATATATTGATTAAAACGTATATGTACATGTATACACATATGTGTTGGAAATATACATATATGAATATCACATTATTGAACACTCATTTGATACCAGATCTATGTATGAGGATTTTACATACGTTTTACACATTTAATACACATATTCCATAAGGTAAGTATTATTGTTTAATTTTTTTTAAATGAAGAACTTGAGACTTAAAGAATTTAGCCATTTTTTTACATTCATTCATAATAAACAGAGAGAACAAATTCTGAACTCTTAAAAAATATCTTCTAATTTCATTAAGCTCAGATAAATCCATGTCACTCTTATTGCAGATGTTTTACTATATTTTATTATCATTATTATCAACATACTTCTGCCATATCATCTATTAAGTTGTACGCTAATTGAGAGAAGGGATAATTCTGTTTAGTTCATCTTTATATAGAGACATAATGCATACTACTAGGCCTTGTGTTTTGTCTGTATTAACATTCCCATTACCTTTATATATGGAAAACTGGTCTAGTGACTACATGGATGAAATTTCAAAGAATTGAAAACTTTTAGAAATACACAATCTGTGTATTAGCCTAAGGCTGGGGTCAAAGAACAAGACTGCAGACAAAGGTCAAAGTTTTGGAGATAGTATGCTACTGATAGACAGAAGGTCCCAATTAATCCTGAATCCCAAGAGAAGAATCAGAATACTAGAGGCCAATGTTTAGCTTGAATGGATCTGATAATGATGAATTATATAGGTAGTGGTGTAATAGGGCAAGATTTTTCAATTTCATCTGGAACTGATTTATGAAAACCAGATGCAATCAGAAAGAAGAGGCAATATGTAATCACAAAGGCAGAGGATAGTGAGCCAGAGAAAGAGGTGCAATATAAAAATGAAATAAAAAGTCTAAGTCTCAGAAACTTGGAATTGTAAACGTTAGGTGGGTGCAGGGTGCATCTGAATTACAAGTCAGAATCATAATTAGTAGTCAAACCTCTAGTTAGAATTAGTCAGAAGATAAAAGGAAATTCGAATTGCAGTTTGTAAAATTATGTGTATTATTTATATACATTAAAGTGTGTATGTGTGCATATATGAGGATACTTCAAAAAGATTATGGAAAAATAGAATTAAAAGAGAATTCAAATCTTTCCATGAATTTTTTGAAATATCCTCATATGTATACA